AATCCAACATGTTGCCTGAGAATATCCCCAAAAACTCTAAAAAAATCGGAACTTAATTGCTTGGCAAAGGGAAATCTAAACAAGACAAGTAACAACTTGTAGATAAATTGCGGTATTGCTCAGTTGCTCAGAAATTGATTGCACTACCAAGCAATTAAAATGTCTCTAGTGTGTGAGGTCACTTAAGTATCCATTTGGTACAAAACCAGTTATCTTTCTCTGGAGATTAATCTCTTTTACAATCTACCAATTAAAATCTCGTGTGAAGTTTAAGCTTACAAGCATGGTATTTATTACAAATCAATGTATTCCTTGTAGTGGGAGTGCTTTGTGCTTGTTTTGGGTAAAGCAAGCTACATATGTAAGACTAAAATGATATAAATAGTTGATATATAAATTATATATATGTAACCTGTGAACTGTACAGAAGTACATCAAACAGAAACTGTGTTTGCTTCAAACATCCAGTTATGAGCAGAAAATATTCTCATGTTTGTTCTTAAATATCCTTACACAGTAATTGGATGCTTCGCCTTAACCTCAAAATGTGGTAAATCGGGCCTTATTTGTAACCCTGATAGCCAAATAACAAAAAAAACTGTTGACATTTTAAGAAAAACATTTTTGTTATCAAATATTTAATGTGTCTTAAAGTCTGTACTTACCTGACAGTCTTTAGTGCATCATTGGGGAACGTTAAAAATAAAAACTCATTCACTAATAATGATCCTGCAAAAATTGTAGCAGAGTGCAGTTGCTCCAGAGCGTAGTAAATGAAGGAAAGCTCTGTTGACTTCCATCATCCAATCATGTGCAAACAAAAATGCTGATCTTTTTCTTTGCATGTGATTCGATATGCTTTGCAAGGTGAAGCTTTACTTTATTTATTAATCTATGGAGCAGCTGCACTTGCAAAGTGCACAGTCTATTTGCCTTTTGTAGATCAACCCCAGTGTGTCTGATTTGCTAAAGAAATTGATAATGTTCACACAATAATTTGTACGAATATTTACTGCTATTACCCTATCATGTGAATTGCAAATTCCTATTTGCTTATTTCATCTTCATATGATACATGACAATTTCTTGTGTACATATTCTTAACTTCTTTAGCAAATCAACCTCATTACATCACATCACAGTATGATGCTTTAGATGGCGATCGGTTGCATTGTTTTCAAGGATGTTAAGTATTATTGAACTGCCAATGGATGTTATAGCATATTAGAAAGAAAATAATGTTGGCTTGTTACACTTAAAACCAGAGTTTTGGACTCCTACAACTTAGTCAAACTGGTTTGTTTGTTTTCAGATAAAGTGGGGAAGAGTTAAATGCTTGCCGAGTCTATATTGTGACATGTCATCCCCCTAAGAGGAGTCCCCCCTCTCTTTCTATAACAGAGTCAAAGGGACAGATAGTATAAGAATTCCCAATGATTGACACAGAGGGAGGAACAAAAACCTTCTTTAATGCAATGGGCAAGGCTAGAACCTCACTCAGGTTTTTATTGTTGTGTGCACCTTCTGGTCCTATGACCTCCATTGTCTTCTTGCATACTTCTTATCCTAGTGTCAAAAGCATGCCAGTGAGACACACTCTAAAGGGAAATCTCCCCAATGGAATAACAGCATTACAAAGAAGACAATACTGACAACTGTTCTACACCATAAAAAACTTTTCTGGCTGGGGCTGGGATTTAATTATTTCAAAAGCTACTAATTTAAAGCTGAACTCCAGGTGGACTGCTAAATGCACAGATGACATAGAAGGGTTGATTTACTAAAACTGGAGAGTGCAAAATCTAGTGCAGCACTATGAAGAAATCAGTCAGCTCCTAGTTTTTTTTTGTCAAAGCTTAAAGTGATAAAAGTTTTTATTTTTTTTTGTTAAATAACAAACATGTTATACTTACCTGCTGTGTGTTATGGTTTTGCACAGAGCAGCCTGGATCCTCCTCTTCTCAGGTCCCCCACTGGCACTCCTGGCATCTCCTTTCTGTCAGGTGCCCCCACAGCAACCAGCTTGCTATGAAGGCACCTACTGCTCCGTGTGTCCATTCATACACGAAGCTGTGGGTTGGCCCCACCCCCCTCTCCTTATTGGCTGACTGACTGTGATTGACAGCAGCGAGACCCAATGGCAGCTAAGGGTGTCATGCACATTGATGGATCGTGATGGAGCTCAGGTAAGCATTGAGGGGGCTGGAGGCACTGCTGCACACAGAAGGCTTTTTACCTTCATGCATAGAATACATGAAGGTGAAAAAAACCTTGAGCTTTTACACCCACTTTAATTGAACAAGGTGAAGTTAGAAGCTGATTGGCTATCATGTACAGGTGCTCCAGAATTTGCAAATCAACCCCACTTTATGTATAATTGAGCAATTTTGACTAGCAAAGATTTTGTATTTTTTCCATCAAGTTCTGCAGTTAATACTGTACAGCCATTGCCACACCATATAGTCCTTTCTGGAAGGGCAGGAGACCTGATTTAGTTCAGTATCACTTATGGCTTTTCTCCTTCCACCAGCCTGTCATTTAACAGTTAAAATTTACACAGCAGACTTCAGAGCTTATCTCTTTATAATTCTGCTCTCCTACTGTCAGCATGTTTTTGCAATGCACCACAAGTAAATGACTCCTTGTCCTGTTTTTCTCCTTTTCCCAGCCTGAGCTCTACTGTACATAGTACAAGAGATTACAAGAGGCTGATACCAGGCCAAATGCATGGAACTGTACACTGCTTGTATTTAAAAAACACTTTTTTGGATGTATTAATTAATTCAGAAATGTTTTAATTTGTGTACTATATACTTGCCTAGAGTTCGGCTTTAAAGGGAATTTTTCTTCAAAGTAATGAAGCTTCCAACTGGTGTCCGTTTATGAAAGAGAGAAAAGCCGAGATCTCAGCTGATCTCTCAGGTGTGCCAGTTTATGAAGCTAAGAACAAGTTCTTCACGTCTCATCACAGGACACACATTTCTGTCATTCACTGTTTACAGAGATGGCCAGTTTATGAAGGTGAGATCTGAAGATCTTACTGGCCATCTCTATTAAATATCTTCATCCCAGATTCTTCAGCTCAGAGGTGGAGAATCTGGGTGAGAAGCTGCTGTGATGTGAGTAAGAAAGCCTCTTTCTTCCTAATATCAGCTTCAGTAAGGTTAAAGATTGATATAAATAATAACCATGTATGGTCATGTGTGTATATATGTGTTTTATATATACAGTGTGTGTTTATATATATGTATATATATTACAGTATAGTTATAATGTATTGACTTTTAGGACCCGTTCACATCTGAGCAATGCAGAATTGTTGGCAGAATTGTGCAATTTTTGCTACAATTCCAAACTGAGCTAAAATACACAGTGTGCTTATGCGTGCCATTAATTGTTAATGGCACCCCAAATGTGGTTAGCAGACATGCATTTTGCTGCACATTTTGTCATTTGATAAATACGCTACCTACGTGCCAAAGTGTGCATTGAAAAAACACACAGTGCTCCATGCCCAAAAAGGTTCAGTTTGGCATTTTTGCCTTTTTTATGTGCATGTTGGTGCAGTTTTTTTTTTCAGCAAATGTGTTGTTTGCCAAAATTAAAACAAAACCAAATGCACTTTAACAAAGTGCCAAAATATGTGCTAAAAGAAGCGGCAAAATGTGTGTTACAAACTATATCAAGATGCGTGTTTAAAATAACCCGTGCCAAAATGTGCATTAAAGCACCAAAATGTCTTTTTTTTTAAAAAATGCCAAAATGCACAATTAACCCGTGCCACGATGCACGGTAAAAAAAATACAGCATGTAAAAAAAAATGTGCGCACCTAATGCCAAAATGTGCTATAAAAAGGGTCCAAAATACACAATTAAAGAATGTGCCAAAATGTGTGTAAAAAACTGAGAGTTAAAATATGTGCCAGTGGTCAGTGCTTATTATTGTTTTATTTAAGGTGTTACTTTTTATTGAAAGTGTTACTAAACCCACAACAGTAAAATCAGTCTGTATATGCAGTAAAGCATGCTTGTTATATTCACTGTGGAACCTAAGGGGTTAATCCTCTGCATTGTGTAAAAAGGCCATTTGATCCTGTCTTCTCTTGTTCAAATGTCCACCTGATAAGTCAGACTGAACCCGTAGCCACATGCACATGCTCAGCTTAGTGTGTATTGCTAGAGATGTTTTTTTTTCTTGGGAGAGTGCATGTCATCAGCACAGGGCCAACCAGCACTGTCCAGACAGAGGGTTAGGGGTTTTGCATCCTCAAAGAGCAGAAACAAAACTCCTCCTACAAGCTTTTAACCAGTGCTCTGCTGAACACTGATAGAAGTCACAAGACTGCTCTAACTGCTGATGAGAAAAGGTATATAGCAGTTTATATTTGCTAAAATTATTGCATTTCCATGTTGTGTGTACTGTGGGAAGCCTGATATAGTGAATGCAGGGTCCTAGGTTTAGCAACACTTTAATTACATGGTCTTTTTTAACTTTGGTTTCACTTTTTCTGCTCTGTAAATTCCCACAATCTCTCAGAAGATCACAGGCAGCCTCTACCCCTTCTACAAAGATCTCAGCTGTTCTCAAACGAAAAACGTCTCTCTTCTCCTTCTGAGAACAAATGTTCTAGGCTTCATAAACAGGGTGCCAGAGGAGATGATTGTTTTCTGAGAACTGCAACGTGATAAATTATCTCTGTTAAATAAACGTACAACTATCATATGTGCTCTAAGTAGGCAGAAACTTTTCTCACAGACCATTTGAAAAAATAGCTGAATTGTTGAGAACTAATATGCAGTTAGAGTAAAAAAGGCAGATTGTGTTACAGGTTTTCTGACTTTTAAGACAGATATCCTTTACATATGCGTCTTGCTTGCAAACTTGTTTGGAGCGTATTATCTTTATAGGTTATTCATCCTGTTTTTCATATTTAACCTATGCTTGTTTCACTTACTTCATAGTTCTCTTATCTTTGCTTAATCTTTCTGTACAAATTAAGGACCAAGAAACCAGCTACACAATTATCAAGTCTAAGGAGACAGAAATCTCAGCAGAGGGACTGAAGCCTGCGTCATCCTATATATTCCAGATCCGAGCACGCACGGCCGCAGGGTATGGCGCCTACAGTCGCAGATTTGAGTTTGAAACCAGCCCAGTGTGTAAGTCATTTTAATTACTGTCAGCTCATGTCCATGTAATAGTTAGCGGAAAGAGTCAGCAGATCAATACCATAACAGGGAACTGTCATTCTTACACTGCTCTAGATTTCCTCTCCCAGGTCTGATGCATTAAATGAAGAGGCCCTATTCATGTCACTCAGCGGGATAACTTCACACTTTGATCCTTGCTTTCTCATTTGATTAAGTCCAAAGAGAGGGTCATTTTCAACCTGTACTAAAACTAGAAGATCAGAGAAATGGAGTGTATTTTTTACAGGCTGTGGGGTTTTTTTTGTTTTGTTTTAAAGTGTAATTTAATGTACGGGATTATTTATTCTGTGGTTGCTTTACTGTACTCCAATATCTTGAAAGAACAATATTCATATTGGTAGCTTGAGAAAGGACAGGCAATGGTATGGAACATAAACACAGAATAGCTGCTATTTGTTATATTGACAATAGTATCATACTAGGGGGGGTACAATTGGGGGAATCAATGGTGGAGAAGGGTCTGGGAGTTCTGGTAGATCACAAGCTTAATAATGGCATGCAATGCCAAGCTGCGCTTTCTAATGCAAGCAAAATCCTCTCTTGTATTAAAAGTATAGACTCCAGAGAGAGAGATATCATATTAAGAAACTGGATTCTTTCTTGGATACACAGAATATAACTGGATACTAACATTTATAGGTAAAGTTGATCCAGGGAATATCCGATTGCCTCTCGGGGGAGCAGTAAGGAATTTTTTTCCCAGCAGGAGGAAATTGGATCATGCTATGCTGGGTTTTTTTTCCTTCCTCTGCATCAATTGTAGGTATAGGATTATAACTTTTTTTTTTTTCTATGGTTGAACTGGATGGACTTTTGTCTTTTTTTCAGCCAGACTAACTATGTAACTATGTCAGTATCAATTTATTCTGTCTCTTTATACCTGGAGAGCAAAAACCTATTTTGATCATCTGCTTGTGATCATTGTCCAAACCTCAGTAAAGTTGAACAGGTCCATCCTGACACTAGAATGAGGTTTGGGATCAGACTGGGGCCATAACCAAGATCTGGAGATTAAAGGGAATCGGTCCAGAGAGAAATATGGAAGCTTTTTCTGACCTCCCTTTGAAAATGTTAATTGTCCCTCTGTTTGGGGCTCAACATTTTTTGATGTATTGCTTTGGAGTATGCATATTTTTTGGAAATTAGTAACTCTGAACCCTTTGGATCAGTATTGCAGGAAAAAAAATTGTATTTTTGATATTTTTATTGTTAAATACAATAATATTCAAGTATATTAATTGGTAACTCCACTTTTGTGGGAAGAAAATTAGCAAATAAAACAAAAAATAATAATATAGCATATACAATTGCAACTCAAGTCATATTGTAATTGAATGTTATTAAAAATGACCTTTCCTTTTCAATATGTAGTTCTGTAGTTTTCTGTAAATTGCAATACAATATGGCTACCTGAAAGCATTCTGTAAACAGATGCTGTACACACATGGACACAGACAAACAAACAGCTATTTCTTTAGAATAACAAAAGGTAGGAATCTGAATAAGTTTGCTAAAATCCCTGCAATGTACAGAGATCAGTTGGGAACAGGGGCGGACTGACCATTTGGAAACTCGGGCACTGCCCGAGGGCCCGGGGTCAGTAGGGGGCCCCATGAGATGCCCCTGGTACCTTTTTCATAGGCTTTTTTGAGTTTGGGTAAGGACACAGGGGCCCCATGATCCCCTATTGCCCGAGGGCCCCATGAGTTGTCAGTCCGCCCCTGGTTGGGAATGTTTTTTTCTCAACAAAAGCAAAGTTATTCTTTAATTTTATTTATTTATTCAGTTGAAGTCAGCAGTGGCAGCCTCCATACGTTTTCAGAACAGGGTCCCTTTAGGATTGGTCTTTTTAACTACTTTTGTAGTATATCTCCTCTTTCTATTCTTTCTCTGCAAGTTTGTAAATGATGTGTGATGCATATCTTTCATATTTACTTGATTGCATAAAGTAATGTAAGTAATACTAAATAAAATATATTCACGTACATAAGAATACATAACTATACTGGGCACTGTATTGTGGCTTTAAAAATGTTTTTGAAGGGGTGTCTTACAGTGATTTGTTTTTTCTCATAGTAACTAACTGGATATTAGCTTTTTAACAGAATTACTTGGACTAATTAACGGTGATCTGTGGTTGCTTGACATGACTATTGCAGACTTGCTTTTTTAATGACTTATAACTAAATTTTTATTTTTTGCAAGTAAATCCAGAATATGACATTAAAATGAATAATGGAGTTAAGCTGTATAGTAGGTTTCTATTACTGGGATAACAATGAACATATAATATTCATAAATGAAAAAAGTAAATTTTTCATAGAAATATAAAGTATATGTATGAAAATCTTAAAATTACAGTTTGCAAGTATTTCTGCACAATGGTTTTAAATCTAAGGTGTGTTAACCCAAGTGAAAAGGGATGTACAAAACAGGAGGATAGAACAAGCAATTAACCTGTGTTGTTCGGCTACTAATGCAGCATGTCTATTATATCTGAGAGTTCAGCTTTAAGTAATGGCAAAGTTATCACCAAATTAAAAGGCCCATTGCAGGAATGTTTTGGGAACCAGGCATGGTCGCATTATAAAGATTCCTGCTGTTCACCAATTCTATTTATTTTGTAAATATGATATTTTTTTCTCAACTGAGTGAATATCTTTTATAGGTTACTACAAGATATGTTTCTATGTTTCTGCTTTAAATATGCAAATTCAGTTAGACACGTATGACACCACCATAAATGAACTTTTAACTAAACAGTTTTGCAGAAGCTGCAGTTGTTAAAGCCTTTGAATCCCCCTGTGTACTGGTTAAAATGAAAACCGTAATCTCTGTTTTCTGTCTATTCACTCAGCATTTGCTGCAACCGGTGATCAGAGCCAGATTCCTATAATAGCTGTGTCTATCACGGTGGGGGTTATTCTGCTAGCTGGAGTTGTCGGTTTTCTTCTTAGTGGAAGGTATGTCAAAAGTCATGTTTCTAAAACAAGAAAATATAGTTTATTCACAATTTCATTTTCACTTAATATATGTCCAATTAACATGGAAGTTACTTGACTACCCATTATTATGTGATAAACGTCTATGTCATTTACATAGACCAACGGTATATTCCAACTTCAAAATGTTTTGTGAACCCTTAAGCATGTTCATCATTCATGAATGAACAGTTTCTAAACTTTGATCTGTTTTTTACCTATTTATTATTATTATTATTATTATTATACAGGATTTATATAGCGCCAACAGTTTGCTCAGTGCTGTACATTACAATGGGAGACAGTATTTAAACCTGAAGTTTAGCTAAACAAAATTCCCTATATCTTTAATCACATTGCTTACTTGTAATGAAGTATGTCTCAGGGTCTCATGTTGTGCAGGAAGCTTAATCCTGGAAAAATCTTCACTGCAGGGATGACTGTCCTCTTCCTGTCTCTGAACTTCTGGTACTGTAATAGTTAACAGCTTCAGGTCTTCAGGCACAGCAGCAGTACATATGGTTATGCCCCCTCCGTTTGCCTCCTCCATTGATAAAAGTCTTTTAATTGATTATGCTGGGAGAGAATCTTGTGACTGATCAGCCTGATCAGTTCAGAGACAGGAAGAGGACTGGCATCCCTGCAGCAAAGGTTTCTCTAGCATTCAGCTGTCTGCACAATGTGAGACATCCTTTATTACAGGTAAGTGTTGTGAGTAAAGCTGTATGATTTTTTTTAAACTAATTTCAGCTTTAACCAGAAGTAGAATCAGAAATGTTTAATAAAAAAAAACCCTACAGCAATTACCATTGCCTGATGTCTAATGAAGACATGGTAAAATGTGATCTGATCTTCACGTATTTTATAAGTAAAACATTGTTTAATTGACACCCTTGCAGCAATTACCTTTGCTCAACCTCTATTGAAAATAGTCTTTAAACAATCAATATCATTATGCAAATCTTTAGTAACTGAAGGATAATCTTTTGTTAATAAAAATCACTATTTGGTATGAAATGCTGTCTATAGCTACTGTTCAGACCAGCAAAATAGCCAGCTTATATTTGTACACAAATTTTCGTTCATATATTTTTGAAATGTTCTTTTTAAATGGTTTAGTTTGTGTCATACCACAGCATTTCATTGGGATTCGGTTCTGAGCTTTACCATTCTAAATTGTACAATTTTCTAACATTGAGCCATATATCCATGTGTTTTGGAAATTTTTACCCTGGTCTGTTAGCAGAGTACCAGCTTTTCCTTGTACATCGCAGGGCACATAACTGTCACTGTTGATGGATGCATGCATATGTTTTCCTACTTGACACATCTAAAACTTCCTTTGCATCACACCCGATCACCCAAGCTTACGCTTTCCAAAATTTCAGCCTTATTCCTAACAATTTTATATAGCAATGAATGTATAGTGGTTTACAAAGATCTTTTGTAACACAGTACATTACAGTCTAAAGGAACTTCTCTTTAATTTCCAATATCCTAAACATTCAGAGAACATTGCCACTGATTGCAATAGTTACAAAAGCGCTTCAATAAAATGAGAAAAATATAGAGAAGCAGTCTTGTTAACACAGCTTATATACTGTAAATGGTATAATGGTAAATGGTATAATGGTAAATGGTATAATGATAAAAATATACTATATTTGCTTTTCTTTGGTTTAATAAATATTTGCATAGTTATGTATACATTTATAAAATATCCTTGCAATTGGTTCTACATTGAGTTGTTTTTCATAAACATTTCTTCACAGATCAATATGTTGAGGAGAGAAAATCCCATAAAAACAAGTCTCTGCTTCTACAGATTTAGTTTTTCTCCATTAATTTTTCAGACCAAAGTATGTTTATTTTCTAATCACATTCATAATAAGTTTGGATTTCCCATTAAGCTACAGCCACTTAGTTTTTCCATCCAACTAATAAGATTATATATTAACCAAGTTCTGGGTAGCATTGTCATTTTAAGGGTCAAGCGAGCTGTAGCAGAATGCTCTGTAAACGGTTAATTTGTCTTTCCAGAGAGTCTCCAGTAATTATCTGGATAATTGGGGTCAGAACAAGACAAAATATAAATGTATTTGCATAAATTGCAACTACTAGGTCTTGACTTGCAGGGAATCACAGCCATTAATGATTGAAATCTAATTGTATATTCACAGTTGGAAAATGAATTTGCGTATCTCTGGAGTACATTTCCTCTACCATATTTCTACAGAGATTGTTTATTTATTTTGGGCCATGCAACAGAAATTGTTGGAAATGTACAAATTAATGTAATTATGATGTCTTTATTGGAAGGCATTTTAATATAATGTTAATGGTTTGCATGCAGTATGGATTTAGTACACAGAATATGGTATGTCTAAATAAAAGTTCTGGTTGGATACTTGTAGAAAGGAGTATCTCTTCCTATTTACACTGTGTAATGTTTTATTCTTTGCGCACATTTTATAAAGTCTGTGTAAATATTGTTCACAATCACTCATCTGGCTTACTCAAGACAGGCAGAACATGTGTATTTAATAACCAACATGACACTGACATTGTAATGCATGTATGTATCTATGAATTGCTTTACAAACCATAAAGGATAACTGTAGACTATATAAATCAGGGTCAATTGCCCATCTTCAGTTTCTTTATCCCATATATATCCCCTGGTACATTCAGAACATTGTTTGACCTCTTCTGGCTGTGGCCTAAGCAGATTTGGGGTTCTTTTAGACTTTCTTCACAGAACCGACTAGTCAGTGCATACTGGCATGCACATGTTTTTCTTATTGAACCTTTGTAAACCCTTACTTGAATGCTTGCAATGAGTAGGTAGCCAGTGGAGGAGGTCATCAAATCATCTGAAGTCAGTAGTGGAAGAGAGCTGGCTGACCCTTAAACTAGAACTATAGGCAACACTTTTTTTTCTCATTTTGGATAGAGCAAGGGAGGGTTATAACCCCTGTCAAAATTTTTTTTTTCACCATCTGTGTCCCATTGTAGAGATTTCCATTCACTTCCTGTCCCATAGCCAAACAAGAAATGACAGGATATGCCTGCAAATTAGGAATTCCATGGGGGCCCCCAGGTCACCAGAGCTAATGTCCCTGTTGGAAGATCTCCTCTTTATTACTTTTCTGGGGACAACCCAAATTTTGGGATTTTTATTTTATTTTCACTTTCAATGATAATGTTAAACAGGACAAATAGAGAGGGTAAATCTCCCTAACGTGTACAGACAGCAATAAAAACTGACAGGTGTTCTATACCATTTATACTCTATCCAAAATTAAAAAAAAAGTTTTGCCTTTAGTTATACTTTAACTTTATTTAATCTAAAGTTATCCTTTAAATGCAAAATACCTTCCAAATCTCAATTAATATAGGGTTAATGAAGATTATGAAGTTGAATTATTAAAGAAGGAGAGAATGTCCAAGTAGAAAAATAGATGTTCACGTAGCTTAGTGGATAAGGTGAACCTTTTCACTTTAAATACTCAACCATGTGCAATGGAAAAAACAAAAACAGAATTTATGAGTACAGATGGACACAGTGGGTGAGACCTACTAGAATTGGTACACACAGAATCTGGTTCAGCTGTGCATAGAAACCAATCAGCTTCTGGGTTTTATTGTCAAAGCTTAAGTGAACAAGCTGAAGTTAGAAGCTGATTGGTTACTATGCACTGCTGCACCAGATTCTGTGTTCACCAGTTTTAGTAAATCCCCCCCAGTTTCATCTTCAATATTCTACAAAAACTTGTACTTTACAAAATGCAAATTGTTTATTCCTTTAGTAAATCAGTGTGTGTGGTTGTCAAAATCCATGGAGATGGAACTGATATTTTTAGAATGCTTTATGATATTGTTTGCATTGTGTAGTTATACATTTTTACAATGGTAGGAAGCTGAACCAAAATAAGTTACACCATGAGCAGGAGTATTATGTAATGATTGTCTTATGTTTATAGTATAATATAAATGAAAATTAACCTTTCCATTCATTCTATATGTAAGTATAGTTACAAATTTTAGAAAACTAAAACAGAAATATTACTAATAGGCAACTTTTTTCCCCTTTTTGTCAAGTCAGCAGCAAATCAAACATCTCTATCTTTAAACTAAAATTTCAGTTAAAATACACCATCGTACATCAAAAGCCTTACAGGTCACTTTCATAGAAAGCAGCCACAGTCCTAATTAAAAGTCTGCCACTTGCCAGCATACTGTAGAGAAGGGTCCTTGCTTTTTGTGTGCAAGCAGTCTCTGTACAGAATAACTACACTCATTATGCTGAGTGAGAGCTAGAACTGTCCAATCAGCAGTGAGGATTAGCTATTCGTATTGGAGAGCTCCAGCTGTGACGCAGCAGGGGGTGTGTTGAAGCTCTGCAGAGAGATCACTGCTTCAGCAAACAAAGCAAACATTCTTCTTTATAGCATACTAGCAAGGGACAAGTTTTTATATTTGCTAACCTTTTGTTTGATGTGCTTGGAATGTATTTAGCTGATTAAAACTGAAAGTTTAATCTGACTTTTAACCACTTCCCATCTGACCCATGTATATAAACGGCCGGATGGGAGCAGTGCAGAGGCGGGTGGCTGTTTATAAACGGCCTCCCTGCTCCTTGCTTGTGCGTGCCCCCTGGGAGCTCTCAGCCCCGCGATCCGGTGCCCGATGTATCCTCTGGACACAGTGGAACACCAATCATTGTACGGGTGCTCAGTGTGAGGTCTCGATCATGTGATCACTGATTGGCCAATCAGTGATCACATGAAGAGTAGTAAGCAAGATGTCACTTCTGACATCATTGCTTACTACGTGTGAAATCTGTGAATGATCACAGAGGTCACATGGTATAAGGGTATTCACAACAGCCTTGCACCATGTGACAAGCTGTGACCAATCACAGCTCACACAGTATTTCTCAATGGCTGCAAGAATGCAGCCAGAGAGAAGGAGAAATGATT